GTTTTCTTTTTTTTTTTTTTTTTTTAATTCTTGATTTTGTTTTGGTTAATGTTGTTGGTGTTATGTTTTTTTTTTAAATGATTTTTAGTTTTTTGTGTGTTTTATGTTTTGATGTTTTTGTTTTTATTTGTTTTTGTTTTGGTTTGGTTTTTGTTTTGTACGTTGTTTTTTTTCTAATGTTTTGATGTATGTTTGTTTGTTTGATTATTTATTATTTTATTTAGATTTTATGTTTTTTGTTTTGTTTTCGTTTGGTTTGGTTTGGTTTGGTCTCTAAAAAGCAATGCTTTGTCATTTTCATTTTATCACTTTTGCCTGTTGTTGTTTTGACCCCCTACAGGCTTATTCATTATTCATGTTGTTGTTTTTTCATGTTTTGGTTTGGTTCAGTTTGGTTTCATTTTGTTTGCTTTTGTGCTTTTGTTTTTTGATTTGGTTTTAACATATTTTACCATACTATCCATGGCCATGAATTTTCCCCAGCGCTGGAACAGAAAATGTGGGGGGAAAATGTGCTGCTGATTTTTAATTTTAGTTACATTTGGATGTTGATATGATCATATTATATCTCATTATACGGCACTCTTATTACAGAAATACTTGATTCTGATTGGGCAAATGCACCATTGTGATGTCAGATGCATTTTATAATGGTGCGTTCATCACTCTGCAGTCTTTCTTTTTATTGATATAAAATCAATATTTCGTGTTTGTTTGTTTATATGCAGAGGTATATAATAAGCAATATAAAGTACATTTAGCCAGTCATCATTGCAAAATAAACCTAAAGAGGGTGATACAAGATCTTGATCATGCTGTCAGGGTTTATTTTGCAGCAACAATCAGCTGACTCATCTTTCTTTCACTTGTGTATTTGAGGTCTGTGACCAAGAAACTTCAAGCATGCTGAACATTTCCAGTGAAACCACGCCACTGCTGATCTATGTGTGACTTCCACTGAATTTCCTGAAGTCAACGGCAGTCTCTTCAGTCTTTCAGTCATGCATTTAAACCAACTGTTTTTCTTTGTGTATTGCCCACAGAGGAGGAGTTGAGGAAGCTCAGAGAGGAGACAAATGTCGAGACTCTGAAACAGGACCTGGAGAAAGAGAAATTAAAAAGAGTCGATCTTGAGCAGAAAATGAATGAAATTCTCAGATCCAGGTATGAGAGGTGATGCTCTTCCACAGTAAAGTTTCCCACAACTACATTTGGCTACATTATGTTCAGTTTTAGTTACTTATGTATTTATTTGTTGTTAATACTGCAAGTAAAGCAATATGTGTGCTTGGTCCAGACTAGAAGATTCACCACCTCCACCTCCACCTCCAAAACCACAAGTCACTTCTGTCAATGGAACAGGTAAAGCTCAGTTCATCCTCCTCCTTATAGGTCTATAGTTGAGAGACTCACTTGCACATTCATATGGAAAGCTACATAAGGTGAATAGATTTTTATATACACCGTATTATTCGAAAATGAACTAAGTGACCCTACAATAAGTCTTATACCCGAGTAACAAAAATAAAATGCCTTATATTGTAATTTGCATAAAAATGCAGGCTTTTTTTGGTGAATGAATTGAGTAATATTGAGTGGTCCAAAACATGACCGCATGTCTAGACCTAAATAAGATGTATTTGTGCTTCATCTGGTTTTGAGAATGACACATTTGGCTTTACACTTGCTGTGTGAGTTTGTTCTCACATAGAGATGGTTTGGATGTGTGTTGTGTAATTATTAGCTGCGGACGCACTGTCCCTCATTTAGAATAATCCGGATTCATCAACATTAGAACGAGATGAGCAAATTGAATTGCAAATGCACCTGTTCTGCCTGAAATTGTGTGGCAGTTTTGTACTGTGTGGTTAAGAACACTTTATTAGTGAATGAGAACCAGTGTCCTTATTCTGTAGTTCATTTGAGGAGCATGATTATAATTTATCCATCACTTCAGCTGATTGATGACTTAATTTTACATGTAATTAAACATCCCCAAAGAAGGCCAAACCAGGCTTCCTTTTCATTTGGACACCATTCTTAAAACCTAAATATCTCTCTGCACTGGAAGTGTCACTTTCTGAGAGCAGTTTTCTTTTTAGTGCAATTCGTACATGGATTAATGTTTGTGGTAATGCACAATTTTATTTCTGACAATATTTTAGTCATTGTAGGTAGTAGATGCTCATGTTTTGAATCTGTTTAACTGAGGTTTTGCTCTGTTTGTGAACGGATAGGAGACAAACAGAAGGAGACCTTAAGCTCTCGGCTGTGGAAATGGCTCTATGAGCGCTTTGGCGTTTATATGGAAGATTTCCGCTTTAAGCCTGAGGAAAATACAGTCGAGACTGAGGAACCACTAAGTGCTAAAAGGTATCCAGCCCAAACAAAGCCTCCTTTGGTTTGTTTAGATTAATAATTTACAGATTTTGAAGAGGGGTTGAACAGAGAACCATTCAAGTCATGGATGGGTCATTCCAGTTATGTAGTGCTCTGTAATTTATGGAGTATTTTAAGGAAGTATTTCTATGAGAAAGGTACACCAGACTTAAAACAAAAAATAACCCCGGACAGACCCATTCCATTCATTTTATAATATAGTAAAATGAAATAATATAATTTGTATAAGAGAGAATTTAATGATTTATAATTCAGTTAATTGTGATGTTTATGAAAAGAAAGCTGACATGACTTTCATATGTTGTCCAATATATTCAGATGGAACCATAAAAATGTGCTGCATAATAGCAATGACTCAGATGCAATTTTAAAGCTGGGGTGATAAAACCCCATTTTTCAATCAGACTTTATTTTTATATCTTTTTATACTTTTATATTGTATATTTTAGCGAAGTGTAGGACAGCCTCTACTGTAGTCAGCCCAGCTTAGGCTCTCAATTTTCATGCTATTTCTGGCTTTATAATTTCACCCTCCCAACGGATCTCATTAAATAATTAATTTTCTTTTCTCCTCTTTGCAGATTAACTGAAAATATGAGACGACTCAGTGAGTGTTTTCATTCCGCATCCCAGAAAAACCTCTCCAAGCCATAGAACTAGATATTTTAACCGATTACAGCCCCATTTTAATTCCCAATGAGCCTCTGTTTTAATTCTCATCACCTCTGCTGTGTCATGGGTATGAAACTGATTGTGTGTGTGTGCGTGCGTTTTCAGAAAGGGGTGCTAAGCCTGTAACTAACTTCATGAGGAACCTTTCTGCCTTATCCAGCTGCCACTCTGTCTACACGTCAGCCATCGCCTTTATTGTGAGCATGACCCACACAAACCCCTCAAACACTATTCATCATGTTTATGTAGCCTCCCGGTCCAAAGTGTCTGTTTTACTACCATAATGAAAACAAATAAAACATGTCGCCAAGCTCATTGTTATCTGGACATCAGTAATACGTTAACATGACCAGTTACACTGTTTAATATTTAGTAGGTCAGTGTGATAAAAGTAGGCTAATCTTAAAATACAAAAGTGTAGATTTTCTGTATGGTGGCTGACATGGTTTTAACATGGCCTCGACATGCCATCCTTCATTTTAATGTCTTCTTCTCTCTCATCTTTTCCACAGATCTATATGAATGCTGCCTGGCATGGCTGGGTTATTCCCATGTTTTTATTTTTAGCCATTCTGCGGTTATCCTTGAATTACCTTATAGCAAAGTACGTCCAACATAATCTGTCAATAGTTCAATTCACAACTAGTTCAACAAACCCATGTGCTGGTTTAATGCCATTATATTTATATATTCCTTTAATTATTATTTAGCCTAAAATGATTTATTAAATGCAGTTAACAAATAATTTAAAAAGAGATGTTAAAATTTATTTTTTTTGCTATTGAATGAAAAAAAAAAACGTTACATTTAAATCCTATAATGTAAAAATTGGCTTCAAACTATTTATTTATTTATTTTTGCTTTATTGTTTGTGAATTATACATACTAAAACTGTTCTGGTCTGTCTTTTTAGAGGTTGGAGGATACAGTGGAGCATTGTGCCTGAGGTCTCCGAACCAGTGGTAAATATAAGCCTCATTTCGAATCATTAACATCATTTTGTTACAATTTTCTTGGGGAAAAAAACCTTATTGATTCGTTGTTTTTATTAGGAACCTCCCAAGGAAGATCTTACAGTCTCGGAGAAGTTTCAGTTAGTGTTGGATGTTGCACAGAAAGCACAAGTAAGGGATTTTTAGCTTTGTTCTAGCTGTGGTAATAGTGCGATACAGACACCTTTTGCTTTGCTTCACGCATAAAGCTGTTGACGCACAAGTGATGTGTATTCACAGAATCTATTTGGAAAGATGGCAGACGTATTGGAAAAGATTAAAAAGTGAGTATGTTAGATATTGAGTTGTGGGAACAGGTGGTATGACTGTGTAATGGTTGAGACGTCATTCAGTTCTGCTTTTAACTTTTTTTGAGCTGATTCAATACAAAGTCTCTTTTTAACTTGTGTATTAACAGTATTTTAATATTATTTTATTTTATGTTGTATAAGTTCTAAATTAAAAAAAGAATATTAAATTAGAGCAAGTTTCATTTCCTTTTCTAAATTATTTAATTGACTGGATTACTTTTAAAGCAGCACTATGTAACTTTTTCTGTGTTAAAAATGTGCAAAATGTATATTATGAGCGAGTACATCATGAATTCATCTTCCAACCCACGTTTTTGTCTTATTCCGAATCACTATGATACACTTATAATTTATAGTACTAGAGTTTATATCGAAAAAGATTTTTACCGTGGTACAAGTAACACACATCTCAAATCAGTTCAATATAATGCCAAATGAGATTTTATCATACAGACATCTTTTTGTCTTGATCTGTCCTCTATTTTGTTTATTTAAAAAAAAATTCAGGCAACAGAGGATGCATAAAGTTAATTAATGGTAGGATTTTGGTTTGTGTGATGTCTGTCACATGTTTATTCTGTTATTTTTCCTCTCTCAGCTGTCTGGGTTTGAAAAGGTAGGGATCTAGAGTGGCCTTTGGTTTGACAACAGTGCCTGTGTTTGCCACCAATGGCTGGTCCTGCGTATGTGTGTTTATATATGTGTGTGCATTGTCAGGAATATGCAATATGACAATGAAAACATCTGTTGGCAATTGGATCAAAAACTGTTGATTTCATAATGCATCTTCTCACTGATTTGTCCAAAACGTCAACAGGAATGTAAAGAAACATTCCAAGATGTTTTTGATCCATCGTCATCAGACAGATAGTGTAGATCTTCTGTGTGTGAGTGTGTGTGACATGCAGGGTTTATATCTGAGAGTTTCTCTGCTGTATAGTATAGCGTAGTATAATAGGCCTAATAGTATTTTGAAGCAGTGACTACATCAGAGAAGTCAAGCTTTCACATATTTTAGCTAATTTATGGAGACATTTGTTGAGAAATAAAAGGAAACAATCATCTCTGTATTCATACACAACTTTGTGAATCCCCCCCCACATGGTTATATACATGTCTTGTGTAGGTGGCTGGAAACTGAAAAGCTTGGCTCTTCTAGTGTGGCCACAGTGTCGTTTTTAATTAAGCTAGTTTACAGTTGCTTAAGTCGAGATCGGATGAATTATATTAGAAAACAAATTATATATGCATACATTTACTTTCAGTGTGGTTATTTAAGTAATGTTGGATCCAGGTTTTTGTCATGTTTGAGAGCTGGCCTTGAATAAGCTACATTTTAGTCAAGTTGTGTCAGAGTTAGTCAGCATTTATATTACAGATGTTGTATTTGCAGACGTACTCTCTATGCACGATGAAGAATAGTTTTCTGCAAATATAAGGGTGTTTCTTTAACTGTGGCCACTTGACTTGTATGTTTAGCTAATAGTAGTTTATATAATTTTTCTACCAACAAATTAAACATGCATGATTAACAGATTTTATCAAATCTTTACATAATGTATAAAATTTATTTTTTTCTTTATATTATTTTTATTATTAGTACTAGTATTTGTATTAGTGTAAGACAAATATATGTTAAAATTGTTTTTAGTTTTTTCAGTATATTTTTAATAATAATAATAATGTATCAAAGGATTTCATTTTAAATTGTATTTAAAATATTTAAATATATTCCAACAACAATAATTTTTAATCTTTATTATTTATTGTCCTGCTAAGATTTCGTTTGTTTTAATTATTTGCAATGTTTTTTTATTGTTATCAGTTTAATATAATAATAATAATAATAATACTATTATATTTTTAATTTTAAAACAATCAAATCTATTCACAAGCAAATAAGAAAATAGCAAAAACAAATCATTATAGCATTGCAAAGTTGAATAAAATTTGAATTATTTATTCATTTAAATTTTAAATAATTTTATGGTGTATAACAAAAAGTTCTTCTGTTCATTTTGAGGAAAATCGACCTAAAAGTGCCCATAGTTGAAGAAATGTCCATAAATCTTTCTCAAATGACATCTGTCTTGTTCAGCCCCAAACTTCTAACACATAAATAAACTAATATCTTAGTAATGTGTTGGCTTTGAGCTTTGCACTGGTCCTCAGCACCCCCCAGGCATCCCTCGCTAGTGTTTGGCATCCAACCCCGAGAACTGAATCTGGCACCAGCTGATTTCAGGAGTCCACATGCAGCTGAGCCACTGACCATCATTCACTCTGCTAGGTCACCACTGCTGCTTGGCTCAATAATATACACTGGTTTAATGACGATTGACACATGGGTGCTGCTGTTGGGGCCCTCAAGTGCTGATCTAGGATCAATTCTGTTCTTTATCTGGTTAGGCGTTAAAGGATAGCATTGATCTTTCCAAGGCACACAGGAACCTTGCAGTTCTGGGGCTGTACTTACACATCCTGCTCCTAAATAAATAGTTTCGCTTGTTCTTCACAGCAGATCCAGCCGGTGGTGGCACGTGGTAATCAGTCGGCCGGGATGTCATGCGGGATTGGCCGTGAGGAGGAAAGCGGACGGGCCTACAACACCAAAAGAGGGCCTTTTCATGAAGTCTTCAACTTGTCAGAGAATGAGCGCCCCCTGCCAGGTGGGAAGAGAAACTACACTAGCCTTTGAACATTTTCATATGCATTTGCTGTTGTTTAACTGTAAAACAATGTGTGATTTGATTCGCAGTGTGCGAGAACGGATGGCGATGTTGCTTGATCAACAGGGACCGAAAAATGCCAACCGACTATATCCGCAATGGTGTCCTCTACGTCACAGAAAAGTATGAATGTTCAGATGTTCAAATAGCAGTATTTTTTTTGTTTGCTGTTTTGCAAATTAATCGTTTTGGGGGCTTTTTCAGAATCAGCAACATTGCATTAAATAGCAATATTTACAAATTACATTTTCTCTAAACAAAGGTGTAAATGTTTTATCGTACTTGAGGTATAAGACCTATAGGCATTGTTAGGCCAGCATAGTACCTTATGATAAAAGTGTGTGTTTTGTGTTTTTAGTTACCTGTGTTTTGAGAGCTCCAGCTCCCGGGCGACGTCTTCGAAAAAAAATAAAGTCATCAAGCTCCAAGACATCACGGATATTCAGAAGGTCTGCCAGATGTTTTTTGATGTTCGTTGACTTATTTTTATTGAATGCTTAGTATCTTACTGTATTTCTCCACTTTTTTAACAGTACAAAGTGTTGTCAGTATTGCCTGGATCTGGGATGGGGATCTCAATTACAACGCCATCCACTTTAAAGGTACTGCATATCTGTGTTTTATATGTATATATGTATATGTGTGTGTGTGTGTGTATATATATATATATATATATATATGGATAAAAAATACAGGAAACATAGTAATATTGTGAAATTATTACAATTAGTATTGTATTTTAATGTTTACAAATTTATTTTTTTCCTCTGATGGCAAAGCTGAATTTTGAGTATCATTAGTTCAGTCTTCAGTGTCACATGATCCTTCAGAAATCATTCTAATATGCTGCTCAAGAAACTTTTATTATTTTCAATGTTGAAAACTGTTGTGCTTAATACTTTTACTGTTAAGATTCTTTGAATACAGAGTTCTAAAGAGCAGCATTTATTTGAAACTGATTTTTTTTTTGTAACAATTTAAGTCTTCACTTCTCTTTTCTTAGCAAGAATTTTTGCACACAGGTTTCATTAAATTAATTAATTAAAATGGAAAAGCTACCCATGTAACTTTTTCTTTGTGGTATTCTTACTTTTATTGTATAATTGACTCTTAATATTAGGATATTACGTTTTTTCAAGGCCATTTTCACACTTGCTGTGAACCAGAGTCCCTGCCAGGTTCCTTTGCACATTTTATTATTGGCTCCACATCAAGGTACATTTGTGTCATCAGCACTAGTCCCTCAGTGAGGACTAGCAGCAGCTGTTCACCGCTGTAGCTAAAGAAGAAGCAAGTAGGCTAATTGTTTAGATTGCACACTAACTGAAGAGAAACTGCATTTATAGCATTGGTTATATGATATGATATGAGACATAATCAAAGATGTTAATTGTAACATTTAAGACCACTTAAAATGATTTTGCTGGATTTCAAATCAGGCATCAAATTTAGTTTTTATGCTAACCAGGTGAACCCAATACTGATGTCAGATATTGTCCAATGTGAAAGCACACTAAGAATTTTGTCACTTGTCTTTTCCACAGCCTCTAGTGTTTGGTGCCATGATTCATCGGGACGAGGCCTTCGATGCCATTCACACTCAGTACATGAAGATCATGAATTCCACAGCAGCTACGACAGTGACAAACCCAGAGACGTAGTCTAACCTGGATCAACATATGACATAAGGTAGTCCATAAGACAGCCCTAACCTTAATGTAGCACTATCCTAAACCCCTATACGGAGATGATGGCTTCCAGAAGTTGTCCGCCCCATCTCCAACCCAAAACGAAGGAGAAACCGCAAAGAAACTGTTTTTCATATTCTCTTTTAGATTCTACCTGAGTATTAGGAGGAGTATTTTATATAATGTTCTCTTAAACAGCGTACTATAATCTTACACAAGTGTTTGTCAGGATGGGTCTTGTTTTATAAGGTTAGGCGTTCATTATGTGTCAGAACAGGAGCTGGTACTCCTTTGTGTCTCTTGTAGGGCTTTGTGTGATCCTTGTGTAGTCAGACCATATAACCGTCTCTGAACTTACCGCCATTTTCACCTAATTGCATCACCGCTGGCCTTGCACAAAGAAACACTGCACTTAGTGTTGCTGAGAGCTTTTAGATGTGATTTAGGGGGAAAAGGAACAGACTTAACCGTTAACTGAAATCCATATTCGCAAAGCAGCTCGTAACTGCCGGCCACATTGTTCCTTGGGGCGCGCCAATTTTCTCTTCAGTATTTGTGATACTTGTGTTAACTAGAAACAACCTAATATTTTAAAGGAGTAGTGCACATAAAAATACAAATTTCGCCGTTTACTCTCCCTCATGTTGTTTTAAACTCGTAAAACACAAAAGGAGATATTTAGGCAGATGTCCAAGCTGCTCTTTTCCTTACAATGAAAATCAATTGTTTAGGGGATAGTTTACCCAGAAATGAAAATAATGTTACCATTTATTCACCCTCATGTTGTTCCAAACCGATATGACTTTTTTTCCTTCTGTGGGATGCAAAAGAAAATGTTTTTTAAGAATTTTTAACAGTTTTTGTCCATTCAATGAAAGTCAATGGGGTTCAAATCGTTTGTATTCTGCAGAGGAATGTCATGCTGAATAGTCATTTAACAAACTCATGGTTTGGAATAACATCAGAGTGCATAAATAATGACAGAATTGTAATTTAATCATTTTATTTTATATTGTACCCCAAAATAAGATGTAATTACTTAAAAAGAACCACAGACTAATTTCTGTAATGGATGTAGTATTTTATGATTTTTCTAAAAGTGTGCGTAGGGAACTCCAAAATTAACATGCTACATAAAAGTTCTACTTCTAAATACACTGTTTTACTCATTTATGCATAACATTTTTATTTTGTAACTTTTGACTATGCAGCCTTCAATAGCTCCTTTTGGTATAAAAGCAGGGTTTTTCTTTCTTAAGAGAGGAGAGTTGTATAGTATATCATGATTTTTTGGCTTATAGGTCCCCAGCACTTTTCTTGGTTTTCAAATTTTTATGCATTTCAAAATGTGCTGTGCTAAGTTGCACTGTTGCTTTTTAATTTGGTCTATCCGTCTTAAGCCTTGTCTCTCACCTGTCTTATTCTGCCTTATTTTATTTTGTTCTTTAGAGCAATTTGACACTTTTTATTATTATTTTTTTATCATTTTGAGTCGGTATGTGTCTGTTGGAGTTAGACTCTGGACTCCTTGGATGCTGTTTACGAAATAGCACTTTTGGGCTTTCTAAATATATAGCCACTCAAATAGTGGAAGACCATTTAGTTAGAATAAATATGATGCTAATATTGTCTGTGCAGAAGTATGTATTTGTGAAACGCATAAATAGTGCACCTTTGTTTATTAATTTAACCTTTTAACTAGTGCTGTCAAATAATTAATTGCGATTAATTGCATCCAAAATAAGTTTGTTTACATATGTGTGTGTACTGTGTATATTTATTATGTATATATAAATACACACACATGCGTGTATATATTTAAGAAAAAAATTATTTGTATATTAAATATATTTATATATAATTTATATAAATATGTACATGTAAATATTTTTTAAATATATACTTTATGAGTGTGTATTTACATATACATAATAAATATACACAGTACACACATGTATATTATGTAAACAAAAACTTTATTTTGGATGATTAATCGTTTGACAGCACTACTTTTAACATTCAATTCTAAAAACAAATTCCATTAATTATTGAATCTTAAAGTGAAAAAATTGACCACCAATGATTGTCATTTGCCAAATAAATGTGTATTGTTGTTTGCACGCTGTTTCTGCCCCAGAACAGTTCTGTTTACAGACATTTGTGTTCCACAAAAGGCTATTTTGATCCCTGGACCAATGGGGGCATGAAAATTAGCCTTTTTTTGCCTGTGGTGAATGTTGAAGAAGCTGAAAAATCATGGATTTTTAAATGCCTTGTTGAAACATTTTATTCTTCTATTTTGCATTATAACATTTTTCATCCAGCTTTAAGAATATGATTATTGTTCCCTGGAAGTTGTTGGCTATAGCATGGAGGGGTGTTGTATTATTTCACTCAGTGTATTTCCCTATTCAAGTCATTTTACGTTTCAGTCAATTATCTGTTTAGTTGGTTGTAACGCACAGTTGTCACAATCACATTTGGTACGGCCACCCAACGACTGGGTTTAATAGACTTTGCAGAAGAACAACCACCGTAAATTGGAGTCCGAGTGAATCTCATGTGCTGAATGTGACTGGATGTTTGTTTATCGAACATTTGTATTTACACTGGATGTACATGTCTGGTAAACTCTTTCCTGCTTTCCTCTGAATAGTCTTCATTGGAAAAGAAATAAACTATTGGGTTCTTTGTAAGCTTTATTGCTTGTTTTCTTTTTTTCCACTTGTGGGCATACCTCAAATAAATGCATATTAACTTTACACAAATGTCAGTTCCAATATATCAAGAGTGCACACAGATGAGTGATGTTTCACTAGAGGGCACCACATGTAGCTTTTAAAAGGGTAACCATGATTTGTAAGGGGTCTTCACTACTGCATATGCTTATAAGGAAGCTAGAGATTTAAGTAAATTATTCAGATAGATAATCTAAAACGACTTGGATCACATTTAGTAGTAGTAGTAGTAGTAGTAGTATAGAGGAAGTATAACAAAAATTTGAAGGGTGCTCTAATTTTTACAAAAAAAACAATTACATAAACTACTCAATTCCTTAAATTCATCAGGAAAATAAGTTCACCTGTATGTTAATCATTGTATTAAATGCCTACAGTTCAATTTAGGTGGGCAAAAACAGTTGCAACAAAGAATTAGACATTTATTTCTGTAAATATCAGAAGCTGTGGGTTGGTTTGGTCCAAGTATGTAACTTGTTTTTTTGTAATGATAAAGCAACTAGAAAGCATCTGAAGCTGTTAAGGTGTGGTAACATTTAATGTTGTTCTGCAAATTTTCACTGTTAAAATCCTGTTAAAAAATAGGAACAGTGTTGGGAAGGGTTACTTTGGAAGTGTCATAGGTTACAGATTACAAGTTACCTTATTAAAAATTTAATAAGTAGTTAATAACTATTTCAATTACTTTAATAAAGTAATGTAACTGATTACTTTTTGATTACTTTTCCAAATGTCTAACGCGTGCGAGTGTTAATCATTTTCAAACATTTAAACGAAGCGGGGGATAACCGTACAGTAGTACTCAACACTGATTACTTACAGACTTTCAAAATCCTTCTTCTGTTATGATATAAAATCATAAGAAACAGATTAATAGCAATGATACTGTTTTTGAAATGAAATCTTTGCATGACTATGACAGGAATGCCTTTGGGGGGGTGAATACATAAACTCAAATAGGAAATAAAACATTTATCGAATAAGCATGTGTCCTATTCTGTGTCCTAAGCTTCTGAAACATTGGCATCTCATAATTTAGAGCAGTTACTGCAATTTATTAAAGAAATCCATTAAGTGTGTGTGTGTGTGCGCGTGCGAGAAACAAATTCAGATGTAACCCCCTTTGGAATTGTTAACATTTTCAGAAGTAACTCATTTAATTACACATTTTTTACTGATTACAGTTACATTTATTTTGTACTTAAATTGCGTAATTTTGTTACATGTAACTAGTAACTCCCCAACACGGAATAGGAATCCATACGATCAAGAATTTCGGCTCGTAAAGATTTCGCAACTGGTTCAGATTTTACAACTGGTTCATGAAATTGCAGCGTTGACCGCTTGGATTGGAAGTGACATCTGTGTGAACTATGCTTCATACATTGCTACACTACTGACAGTGACTTTTTTTGCCTGTAAAATTTTGCTAATGTGACCACAATTTTAGAAGAAAGGTTGCTATTGATCATCAATCTAAACAAAGTCTAAAAGAACTTTTCTAACCACTCACCTGTTTGCCTGTTAGAAATGCATGAATCAGCCAAAGAAGCACTCCGCTTTTAGATCGATATTTTATACCTCTTCATTAAAACTGACTATTGATTGATTTTAATGCAGACTAATGACAAATTGCATGTACCAGGGCATGTTTTTTTTCCATACAGTTCTTCAGAAAGTGCTGGAGGGCTATTAATACTAGCTATAGTTCCTGGCAGTCCAGAGGGAGACTCGTGGGGCTGGATACAGTTTCAGCTGCATCTGTGGGTAAAACGTCTGTGTCTCCCAATCTTGTGTACTGAGACGATTGAGACATGATGCACACAATGTTCACTTGTATTGCGTATGTCAACATACCAGCTACAGTATCAGTTTATTACAGATACTACATGATTTATGGGCGTTCCAATTTAAGAATTGTCGAGGAATGATATTTACCTGTGTTCAATTTCACTGAACTTTGCACAGAGCATTCACATACTTAAAGCAGGTTAATTTCTCACCTTAGTCATTATTTGTTTTTGTTTTTTTCTTTCACTTTGTAGTTTTGCTGCTAAAGAAATTAGTAATTTATCAATTAATTTAATCAAGCAGCTTTTTTTAAATTATATTTTATCAGTCATATGTATCACTTTTTTCCATGAAATTTTACCGCTTAAACATAAATTACATTTAAAATGTATCCATTTTTAAACATTTTTGCATAATGCTTCATCCACACCACAAGGTGCCACTATAAACCCAAGATGACAGCATAGTGCAACATAAAAATTACTGAATGTACCTTTAAGGATAATGTTTTTGTACAGGTAAAGAAAAGAAAATACCCATTTTTGTTACAAAAACGCTTTAAACATCCAAATTTAGCCTCAAAATTAAGCTTTTGGCTCAGAAAATGACCTTCATGAAGATTTGCTTTTATGTTCATTCACACCCAAAACCCTTTCATGTTGAGCAGGACACACTTCAAGGCTTCCTTCCAGCAGATCCGACAGCGGCTCGACAGCAGACGGTGTCTGCTACTAAAAAGGGCAAGTCTTAATCAAGGCCTGTAATCGTAATCCAGTAAGAGTCAGGAGAGGAACAGAGCATGCAGAAGATACCTTCCAACCTTCCGGATCTCCACTCTCAAGTTTCACCCCCTTGCTTCATGCCATGGTCGCCTATCAGCAAAAACATGTTCATCAAACTCAACTGACACCCTGCTAAAACCGGTGACCATCAAACCCCGAGAACTGGCGCAGTGCCTTGTAGTCGTATTCACTTTCTATGGAGGAAGCCTTGATCTGCGGCAGCTAAAGGTGTCGAAGTCAGCAGCAACTTTGCACTGTCTCACACTACGAACCTGCTGAGCTCCAGTAGCAGGTGTTTCTTGGCTTGTTTCGACAAAAATATTTTTCACCTTAAATGTAGCAATTAGGTGTTGCTGCAAACAATCTTGTGGTCCATTTAGGTCACGTTAGAATATGTTTACTGGGGATAAAAATGTTTAAGAGGCTGATCATTTAAAGGAAAATCTCTTGGCAGTCTTCCTTCTGTCACCTGAAGCTATCATCACCCATATATCAGCCTGTGTCACCTCTGGCTCAAAGGCCATTGCTATATTAGCTTTAACACATTAGCTCACTGGTAGCAAGGTCTTATAGTTACTGTAAATCAATAATAATAATCTTAAATGTCCAAATAATAATCTTGAAGGTCCAGCCCATTTTTTGGCTAAATTTTTTTTATGAATGTCATTTTACCTTTTTAACAGTAATTAAAAAAAAAAACGAATTAGAAAATATTACAATTTATTATTGTTGTTTATAAATAAGTAATAATAAAAATAACAAAATGATATCTATAAATAAAAACAGTTCAGATGACTAGTGTACATATTTCTAATTCCTGAACTCATATAACTGACTTTAATTGCGCTTTTATACTATATTAGTATATATTACTATTATTATTAATTATTAATACTATATTATATATATATATATATATATATATCGTGTACTTTTAAATGCATTTAGTAGTATATTAAATTATTTAAATTTTAGTTTACATTTCTGTAATTTTGTATACTTTCGTAATTTGTATTAGTTCTTAAATATTTCTGTTAGGGGTGTCAAATCAATTAATCGCATCCAAAATAAAAGTTTGTGTTTACATGTTGTGTGTGTACTGTTTATATATGTATATATAAATACACACATGCATATATTTAATAATTTCTTAAATATATGCATGTGTTCACAGTACACACACTTATCATGTAAACACAAACTTTTATTTTGGATGGAATTAATCGCGATTAATCGATTTTAGTCTCAGTCATTTTAGTACTTTTTTATTCCAGTCAGTCTCATTTAAGTTTTTCATCTAATATTTATGTTTCATTTTATTTCAGCTTTGTTTCAAAGTTTTAGATTAATTTTACAATACCAGTTCTACTTATTTGTTATATTTGGAACTTGATAGCTCAATTCTCATTCACTTTTTGCTGTCCAGGAAAAAAGGCAGCCTGGACATTCACACAATGACATGAGGCTGAGTAAACAATATAATTTTAGGCTGAACTATCCCTTTAAGAAGGAATGTGACCTCACATGCAAATCAACTCTGCCAAAACATACTTAGTACGTGAATGAGTACGAATTTGTCCCACTATTACACACACAAGTGTTTTTTAAGGTACTATCACACACAGGGGATGGTGAAAGTATTAAGCTGCCTGATAGACATGAGTTTGTAATATGAGCCGATAAACTGAACAGAGATGCTAGTGGGTAAACTCATCAGAGCTTTATTTAGCCACGGGAAAGACTCTTATAATATTATATACACAACTGCACAGAAGCAGAGAGTAACTTTCATTGAAGATTATCAGTGCCACAGGTCTCGGCTCCATATTAAGATCTTTGAAATTTGAGGGCCTAAGGGTTGTCATAGCTGAAAACATGTTAAATTCCATGCATGTACCATTACACCGTCACACACAAGGTGGAACGTGAGCCCAGATTCCTCTGGGAGCCTGACGGCATCTGAACATTACAGGAATTCCATGCTGACGTTTGGGTGTGAACGGAATGATGATATCTCATCCCATTGGGCCGTCCTTCACTCACATGGCCAGCGCTGGTGCCATTTATTAAGGTGGCATATTGCTTACTGTCAGCATTTTCCCCTCATGGGAATCCCTGGCCTTTTCTGCCCTGGCTCGAGGGATTTGCCTGTTTATCGGGTTCAGTATCTGCTGTTACTGATTGCTTGGAAGTGCCTTAGTGATTTATCATGTCTGTTTATATCCAGTTATTTTTAATGTCGGAAAGTAACAGTGTTGTAAACTTTTAATAAAAGAGACATTAATAAAAAAAGACAGAGCTACTAAGCAAGTTACAATTAGTATCCAACAATATAGGCTATGTCTCACAGAATTGCTGAAAGATGGAAAAATATAATTCTACATGAAATCATAAAATACATCTAACCATATAATGGTAGTTAAGAATCCCTTAAATGGTTAGTTCACCCAAAAATGAAAATTAGGCTGTGTTTTACTCACCCCCGAGGCATCCTAGGTGTAAATGACTTTCTTCTTTCAGACGAATCCAGTCAGAGTTATATTAAAAGTTGTCCTGGCTATTCCAAGCTCTATCATTGTAGTCAGCGGGTGTTGCAGTGCTTCAGTCCAAAAGAAGTTAAATAAAAAGTGCCCATCCATTAAAAAAAAAACTCCTGTAACGAATCGATGCGTTTTTGTAAGAAAAATAATCATATTTAAAACATAATCACTTTAATCTAGCTTGCGCCAACAGTTGTACACGGAAGCAGCTGATGACGTATAAGGTCAGCTTTGCGCATGCGCCGGTGAGTCTTGTGAAAACCAACATTTGTTTACAGGATCAAAGGAAGCAAAGTTTCCTTCCTTTAGCAAAGGAAAACCAGTCTCCTCTTGGCTTATATCGAAATCCTCCGACATTCTTCTCTACAAATCCTCGTTTTGTACTTCTAATTAGTGACCGTTGTTTTGTTTTGATCTCTCCCCTGCGCTTCCGCATTTATCACTTCTGAGCGGTGCATGCACAAAGCTGACCTCATACGTCATCCGCCCGCAACTGCTTCCGTGTACAACTGCTGGCGCAAGCTAGATTAAAGTGATTATTTCATTTTTGGATGAACTAACCCTTTAAGGGAGGAAAAAACACTTTCTGTATACTTTGTTGTAGACATAAGTTGCAAGTCTAATGGAACTTTTTGGTATTCAATCTTTTTGGTGTCAGTATTAGCCTGTATGTATCAGCCTTGCATATAAGTTAAAGGGGTCATATGATGCTGCTAAAAAGAACATTATTTTGTGTATTTGGTGTAATGCAATGTGTTTATGAGGTTTAAAGTTTAAAAAACACATTATTTTCTACATAATGTACATTATTGTTGCTCCTCTATGCCCCGCCTTTCTGAAACAATTTTTACAAAGCTCATTGTTCTGAAAAGCGAGGTGTGCTCTGAACCCAGACAGTCCTTGCAAAGTTGATACTGCCCCACTTTATAGAACAGCCTTTGAGCACAGACCCATTGTATGCTACTCTGCAGGTTCAGGAAACAGTCTACCATAAAATGCGTCACACAGCATCACACACGACGGACTTGAGTGAGCGGAGGCTGACGGCCTTGAGAACGGCGCGGCCGGCTAATTCGACGAAGGAGCGACCGGTGGGCTTGCGGCAACCACGTGTGACGACCCCAGGCTGGACTCCGCTTCGTCCACGGTGAAAGCCGATTCGGCGATCCACAGCGCGAAGTTGATGTATTTCCTCAGCGACCAGCACGGATCAGCTCCAGGCATGACGAAGCGGATATCGTCCTCTTTTGGAAGACCAAACAAAGTAGTTTCGCTTTCACAACTAAACACACAGCATCTCCACAACATGGTGCCGGCGGCAACAATACTACAACGATAATAAAAGTTACGCCTTCTTTCTTTGTGTGAATATTTGGGCAGCGTTATGCAAATCTTCCCACATCGTGACGTAGACATGTGGGGGCGTGTTTAAATGAGCCGTTTTAGGAGGGCGTGGACAAGTCTTAACTTTTATAAAGAATATCTCTTTGGATTTGAGACTTTAGTCTTTGCAACTTTACAGATCTTCTTTATGCACCAAGAGCTTGTAACACTCCAAAGAGAAAGGAAAAATTTAAATTGCATCATATGACCCCTTTAAGTTCCGTTCAAACAGTGTTGGGTAAGTTACTCAAAAAATAATTAATCACTAGCTATAATTTCATCCTTAACAGTGTAATTAGATTACTGTACTAATTACTTTCTCTAAAATGCATTGCATTACTTATTACTAAATCCTATCAATCTTGACCAAGGATAGACGTGAAACTGCTCTTTTAATTATTCTTTAACTGACCAAAGTATTTGAAATGATAAGGTAACTTTCAAAACATACATTTTTATCATTAGATGTTACATTTTGATATTAAATCCACTAATGTTTTATAGAGAATTGTTTTATATATACATTTATGTATATTACATCAGAAGTAGCCTGTAACTAACTTACAGAACAATTAAGAGTAATCCCTTACTTTACGTTTTCAATTAAATTACAGTAATTAATTTAGTAATGCATTACACTCATTGACGATGACTATAACTAGCTAGCGTCCGCACCAACACACCATAACGTTATGTTTATTATTAGCGCGCGATGCCAGCTCTATAAAATCATGTGGATTCTGATTGGCTGTCAATGTTTTTGTCGTTCATCATCTGCAATCATTCTGAAAGTGATTCAAACGATATTTTTCCTCTTTGCCATTATTGTTATAACTGTTACCTATTCTCATAGAATTACAACCATTATTAAAACGGTATAGCCTATTATCGTTATTCCTTGGTATAAACAGGCCTTTACACTTGTCAAAATGGGCACTGCCGTTATTTTGACAAGTTGTTAATGATGTTAATGAGAATCCCTTATGTCAAGGTCCTTGACTGGCTGATGAAAATAAAATAAAATAAAAAGAATCAGAGCACTGGTCTAAAATAGGCCTAAATAAATAAACAAACAAGCAAGCAAGCAAAAGAGAATCATTACCAAGCCAGTTGATCCAGACAACTTTCAACACACAGGTGTCGGAGGTGTGGTGATTCTCTCTCTCTCTAATGAACCTGAGGCATCATCACATTTCTGCTTGGGGCCTCATGGTGTTAGTTGTAAAGTCGGCCATTGTAACCGCTGCTAATGACTCTTCTTATGGAGTCGCACTGTGCAGGTGCTCAGGTGTCAGTCACGCCAGCATTTTCAAGTTCAAGAGGCCCAGGCTGGAGCAACACTGCGAGAGTTTTGGGATGTAGGAAATAAACTGTTTGGAAGCATTTCTGAATTCGCAAACTACTTGAAACGTTATCGTAATTATGAGCAAATGGGCCATTTCCGAAAAAGCGGCAACAATATCAGTTGTTTCACAAACATATAAATGTTGGCTTTTATTTTATATATATTATGTAAGCTATATTTTATAATCAAAACATTTGATAAATACAATAAACCAGGGGCGTAGCCATCATTTCAGAAGCTAATCTACGCCCCTGCAATAAACAAAAACAACGTCTAGTTCTTAAATCTTCAAATTACAGGTTCTAACTTCGTGCCACTAAAGATCGAAACACCCGACGCGCATTGCTTCGGTGTGCCAATCAAAGTCAGCCCACCCTTTGCTGTCTTAAGCAGTCTGTGTGGTAGGCTACTATATCTGCTTGAGCTCTCGGCTGAGCATGTTGTCAGAATGACTTCTATTTCATTACACCAATAAACTAGTTTTAAAAAGTTGTACAACTTTTAGAAGGTAGCTTAGTACCTTTTAGAAGTTAGTTTAGGGCTCTATCTCCGTCAGGCTGGAGCTATCGGATCCAAAAAACTGGTGGAGTGGCGGAAAGTCTTGGAGGCACAACAGACAACACTCTCGAGGGGCAAACCACGATGAGAGTGTGGACCACGCTGCCCCCTTCCAGGACGTCTGTGAAGTGGAGACCCCTGACCAGGAGTGCTGCAAGAAAGTCACCATCAACATTTCAGGTCTGCGTTTCGAAACTCAACTTAAAACCCTCGCAAGATATCCGAACACGTTATTAGGAGACCCAATTAAAAGGATGCGGTTCTACGACCCGTTGAGAAACGAGTTCTTCTTCGACAGGAACCGACCCAGTTTTGATGCCATCCTGTATTACTATCAGTCCGGCGGGAGGCTTCGAAGACCCATCAACGTGCCGGTTGAAATCTTTATGGATGAAATGAAATTTTACGAAATTGGTGATGACGTCGTCGATCGTTTCCGAGAGGACGAGGGTTTGCTGAAAGAAGCCGAGCGTCCCGTTCCGTCCAGTGAGTTTAAGCGTCAGATCTGGCTGCTGTTTGAGTATCCCGACAGCTCTGGTCCAGCCAGAATGATCGCTATAGTATCTGTAATGATCATCCTGATATCCATTGTTATCTTCTGTTTAGAGACTTTGCCGGAATTTAAAGAGAATGATCGTGTGTTCAGCAACCACCTCGCGCCGAACGGAACGACTGCTGGGAAAAGATCTAGTATATTCACCGACCCATTCTTCTTGTTGGAGACCATCTGCGTCGTTTGGTTTTCCTTCGAACTGTTTGTAAGGTTTCTTGCATGCCCGAGCAAGCCCGCCTTCTTCAAAGACATCATGAACACCATAGATATTGTAGCTATTCTTCCATATTTCATTACTTTGGGTCTAGACCTTAGCGAGGTCCAGTCAAGCTCACAACAGACCACGTCTCTCGCCATACTGAGAGTTATCCGCTTGGTGCGCGTCTTCAGGATTTTCAAGCTCTCGCGGCACTCCAAGGGTCTCCAAATTCTCGGTCAGACTCTACGAGCGAGTATGCGAGAACTTGGACTGCTGATATTTTTCCTAATCATCGGCATTATATTGTTCTCCAGTGCTGCGTACTTCGCTGAAGTGGACGACCCGGAATCGTCTTTTACCAGTATCCCAGACGCGTTCTGGTGGGCGGTTGTTACCATGACTACTGTTGGATATGGCGACATGTACCCAGTGACAATTGGAGGCAAAATTGTTGGATCAATGTGTGCCATTGCAGGAGTTCTTACAATCGCCCTGCCGGTACCAGTAATCGTGTCTAATTTTAATTACTTCTATCACCGAGAGCACAGCGAGGAGGAACAAGTGGAATATACTCACGTAACTTGCGGTCGCCCGTTGCCTGTCTTATGTGACCTAAATAAAAGCGACAGTAAACCCTCTCTCGTGAAATCAGAGCATTCAGATGACGACGACTGGAATTCAATAAGCATATTCAATTTCAATCCATCAGAGGAATATACAGGCAAACTCACAGATGTATAAGAACACCAAAAGAGCTGTAGGCCTATCAAAGCGCGCGCATCTATGTGAGTATTGGTCTTGCTGTCTAAATACTTTGGGTTTCTTGTTTCTTAGAGTTACAAAAGATTATGGCTGGATGAACCTTATTCAGAGCTGTTGTAGATATATGTCACAGGTGAATTCTAAATTAGGGCGCCGAGCTTCTACGTTGCTTGGCAACCATAAACGGCCAGTACATTGAAAGCGCCAGAATAAGCAGGTTGAGCCGTGCATCATCTCAGCATGTTTACTAACATAACTTATGCACTATTCTATTCCATTTTGTAGTATATAACTAGTGGGAGTAGTGTGTTCACACTGAAAATTCACTTTAGATACTTGCACTTCAGATAACCCAGTGATGCACTGAATTGGAATGTTGGAACATTTTAGATTTGTATTATTAATGCCATATAAAAGAATGATACAATGAGACATATTCAGTTCAAAAATAATTGAATTGCCATGTGCTTTATGCAACAATATAACTTGCTTACTTTTACAGTCATTTATTACAGTAAAGCTTTTTTAAATAGCCTATGAGAAAAAATGGAGTCAGACTATTTATGGGTGTGAAATTTTCCCATTAATAAAACAATTGTATAAAATATGTTTTGTCTTTACCAATTCTCTGGCCACTGAAGATTATAGCCTAATTGTGTCAAATCCTCTCAGTCAGAACTCAATTGCTTCTTAATTAAATGTTCTCTATCAGTTCAGAATATTTGTGTATATGATGTTGGACACTTCATTAGGAATTACAGGAATTTCATAGGGAAACGGGACAAAAAAAGAAAAAGATAGACAGATATACAAACATACATGAAGAAAAGTAAAACAGTCAAATGAAACATCTTTAAATAAACCTCAAAAACCTAGCATTATTCTTATTAGTCTGAGGGATGAAATTCAGGAATTTAATTTAAGATGAAAATTTGGAAGGCACAAAGAAGAATTAGACCATGTTTGTTTGTGAAGGAAAGATTTTGCATACGATATAGAAGCTGGTAAAATATTCAAAAGATAAACAATTAGGGTTTTTGTATTTTAAAAAATTCTATCTTTGGAGGAGTAATTAACTCCAATAGGGCTGAAAAATGAAAACTTAATCAGCCCAGAATTTATTCATTTTGTTACAATTAAAAAATAAGTAAGTATGCCTAGCTGTTTCTTCTACTACACCACGGAATGAACATGTGTCATCAGTATCAGAATATTCAAAATCTAATGAATTAACAGGATAAATGTTATGCAGAAGCCTTCTCCAGTTTACATTCACAAAAAGGATCCCCAGTAGAGTTTGGCCCTTGGCTGTGTTGGACACTTCATGCACTCAACTGTCACAGCTTTCCTTACATAACGGAAGGGCTATCGGACTCCAATGTTGGAGACAAAATAACCTTATACAAATCTTATACTGGACTTCTGAGTACATAGTGCATAATATAAGTGCATAATATGTAATTTGGGACAGAACCTAAGCCTACACTTCAGCAGCTGTAAAATTAAAAATGAAAAATGTTATATTTTCTTTTCAACAGAAATCCATTGGGTTTTTATTAATGGCCTAAGAATAGTAAAATATGTTAGTAGGCCTTGCTACAACCATGAACAAGGTATAGAGAAGAGGTTTATGTAAGTAGCAAATTATTTATTCACTCAAAAAGACCAACGTAATATTATGGGTATCGGTCACCCCCATGCGGCGGGATTAGGGTTCTTTAGAGGCTACATTACGCCTGAGCCTAGCAGTAAACTTTTTTGAGAACACAAATGTCACATTTAAAGATAGTTGCATGTCTCATTATCTGTCACCACATTGATGTTACTTCTAATTGCAGGAAGCAGCAGCTGTATGACGACATTTCTTCTGTACAAAGAAGACGGTTCATATTACCTTCATAAACAAGCATGTGTGTATTTTTGTCAGTAGCGGTCCGTCAGAGAAAGAGTCAGAGAAAGAGTTGAAAGGAACAAACAGACTAACTGATACAATTAACTTTTTCAGTTTACCCATTAATGTGTATAATGCATATGATGTGAATATTTTATTACGCGGAACCCCTGGCGAGTTTTAAACACTGCACAGATGTTTCAGGAGGCTGACAGCATTGCTTCTAAACTGACCAATCAGAGTATAAACTACTTTTGTCTAAAATGCGAAATGAGGCTAATAAAATTGGCTTCTTTCTGCATATAACCAATCATCGTCAGAGAGGCAAGCATTCAAATGTTATTGTAGTAGCCCCTCACTGCAGAACACAAAATCCAGGGGGCGTGGTTGGATCCACATCTAGGGGGTGGAGATTGGTAGGTTTAGGGGTGGAGATGGGTGGGTTTAGGGACTCTGGGGGTGGAGACGGGTAGATTTAGGTATATGTAATGTGGGAGGAGTTGGACCTGAATCCAACCACGCCTGCTGGATCTTGTGTTCTGCAGTGAGGACCATCTCTGTTGTTGCGTCATCAAGCCTGCTTGATGTCAGACAACAGCTGACTTGAAACAGAAAGTTTAAAGGGGTCATATGATGCTGCTAAAAAGAACATTATTTTGTGTATTTGGTGTAATGAAATGTGTTTATGCGGTTTAAGGTTCAAAAAACACATTATTTTCCACATACTGTACATTATTGTTTCTCCTCCATAGGGCCTTTCGCACCGCTTTAGTTCCAGAACTAAATGTACAGTACTAACTGGGACGATTTTGCGCAAACTATTTCCCAGTACCATTTAAAGGGTTGCATTCGCACCGACAGTGTGTACTAAGAAGTGACGTAAACCGGTCGACAGCGACGTCATTTGTGCGCTGCGTTCAACAACAGAAACAAAGAAGAACAACATTAACAGCAACAGGAGGATGGAGGACGTTGTTATCGGAGCTGTGTTTTTGTTGTGTCTCGCGGGTTTCACAATAATGGACATGGAAAGTCGACGTATACGTAAAGCGATTGAAAGAACGGAAAGGAGGACTAAGAATCTCCAACGACAACTGGCAGTGCTACATTTCATACAAGTGCCTGCACTTCAGCGTCCGTGCATCTATCGCTGTTCTCCATACTTGCGAAATAAGTTGACACAATTTTTACAGTATGTTTACACAGCGTTTTAAATCATGGCGGGGGGGGGCGTTTTCATACGCGTTTGGCCAATCAATGTCTACTTACGTCACGATTAGGACCAGTTGTGCTGGTTAGACCCTGCTCTGGAGTAGGAGCTAATTTGGTTCTCGAAAAAGGCAGTCCGGTACTAAAATCGCTCCCAGTTCCGGTGGTGCGAAAACGACAAAAAGTGGGTAGTTCCACAATTAGTTCTGGTATTATGAAAATGTTCCCACGGTGCGAAAGGCCCTCATGCCCCGCCTTTCTGAAACGTGTCAATTTTTACAAAGCTCATTGGTCTGAAAAGCGAGGTGTGCTCTGATTGGCCAGCTATCTAGTGCGTTGTGATTGGCCGAATTCCTCAAGCGTGTGAAATGTGTAAATGTTACGCCCCTTACCATACTGTGATGTCGTGTCCTGGCGCGACGAGAGAAAACCAATAAAACCCATTATAAACGAGGCATTTGTTGCATCCAGTGGGGACATAATTACTGATTATAATGACTTATACTGTCTTTTTACACATTGCGTTGCATCGCGCCGCGTAAACATAAAACGATGTCTGCATTTGTGATCGGAGAAATGACAAACAACAAGCGCTACTCTACACTGCTCAACTCGCGTTTGAATCATCAGTGCCAAATCCACTAAATATGAAAACGTACTTACAGGCTATGAGTCAGCATTATTTGTCAGCATCATAGACTGTGATCAGCATGTGCGCCGAAGGGGAAACAGGGGATCTGAATTCACCGAAACACTGGCATTGTAGGCTACTCTCCCAGGAAACAGTTCTCGTCCTCCGTAAAATGCACTGGGCACATCTGAATATTTGGTTTGAACTGTTCTGGAACAGTGTTGTAAATACAACTTAACCACTGATTTCTAGTCGTGTCCTCTTTTGGAAGACCAAACAAAGTAGTTTCGCTTTCACAACGAAACACACAGCATCTCCACGACATGGCGGCAGCAACAATACTACAGCGAGAATCAAAGTTATGAACGAATCAGTTGAGTCAAATTTTCATTAGCCCATGCACAAACATCTGACGAATCTGCCGTTTGAACGAATCATTTGAATGAATGACTCAATGACTCAATCATTAAACGCTCACTACTGGCACCTACTGGCATTTTAATTTTGTTGAAAAGTATCAAATAATTTCTTGTTTGTATATTCAAAAATATTTAAAATAATCTCATAATATTATTTAACGCAGTTGTATTTTTCAGTGTAAATTATTTAATTTGATAACGTATAGATCACATAATCGTTATTATTGAATTTATGGATCAAATGTAAGAATTTGAAATGAAAGTATTAAATAGATTAGTGGTTAAATGCCATCTATAAAGGCAAAAAAAGCCCTTTTAGCCCTTGGATAAAATATAAAAAACACACAGATTTATCTGTCACAGCTGACAGAAAACTGATGAAAATATTGCTTCAGAATAAATCATATTTGCAAAAAAAAACTAAACAAAACACACACACCGGCGCGGCGGGTACGCGCATTAAACAGACGGACCACAGTAGAGAGGGAGACAATATTCAGCGCAAAATCATTCATTGTGCTGAAATATCTGTTATTGAACAATTAAATTTAGGTTTAAAAGTCAACATGCAGTGTGAGTAATTTATGAGAGTATAGGAACTGTGAAGGCACAGCAGCGTGTAATTGTCTGAATATAAATGTCGGACGCTTTTACAGGATAAATAAATGACAGTAAGAGGAGACTGACTGTGATCAAAGTGCATGTGATGCGTGTTCCTGCAGAACATTACTGTGATTTTATTAATTTTTATTATCTTTATTATTTTAATTTTTGGTCTAGAGATTTAAGCTATATTCACTATATAGCCTACAGTGATTAACAAATTTATTAAAACAAATTTATGTAAGGTTTTTAACCAATTTTGTAAGGTTTGTGCCACTGCTGCTCTTAACTAACAGTAGGCTATTGGTAATTACCAAAACCATTTTTTAGCTTTCTGTATTGGTTAGTCCTCCAATATGCGTAAGCTCTTTAGTAACAGTAGTAGGCTATTTTTAATGCTATAATATAATTCTTGCTGTTATCTGTGAAAGAAAGGCAGAAAAAATTGTCAAGCGCTTTATAGTGTTTTTTATTCAGATACCCAATTAGTCAAAAAGTACATAACCAATGTCAGCAAGCATGCAAGCTGTTATCAAAGGCAAAGGAGGCCATTTTTGTTATTATGTGAATATATACTATTTAATTGTTTCAGTTTGTTATTTGCCCAAAAAATGACAATAACATTTTTAGGATTAAACTATTTTTCTGACAGATTCCTAAAATATTTGTGCTTTCTCTTATGACAGGTGGTCTAATAAATTGTTACGGACTGTATGTTTTCATAGCATTCAGTTGGCACATTTGTTTGAAGGACATTGGGCAGAATGTGGAATAGTGTGTTTTTGTCAGTAAAATGAAAATAAAGAAAATAGTTTTTTTTTTAAATCCGATTAATCGTAAAAATAATCGGCCAACTAATCGATTATCAAAATAATCAATAGTTGCAGCCCTAGAAATGACAAACAACAAGCGCTACTCTACACTGCTCAACTCGCGTTTGAATCATCAGTGCCAAATCCACTAAATATGAAAACGTACTTACAGGCTATGAGTCAGCATTATTTGTCAGCATCATAGACTGTGATCAGCATGTGCGCCGAAGGGGAAACAGGGGATCTGAATTCACCGAAACACTGGCATTGTAGGCTACTCTCCCAGGAAACAGTTCTCGTCCTCCGTAAAATGCACTGGGCACATCTGAATATTTGGTTTGAACTGTTCTGGAACAGTGTTGTAAATACAACTTAACCACTGATTTCTAGTTGTGTCCTCTTTTGGAAGACCAAACAAAGTAGTTTCGCTTTCACAACGAAACACACAGCATCTCCACGACATGGCGGCAGCAACAATACTACAGCGAGAATCAAAGTTATGCCTTCTTTCTTTGCGTGAACATTTGGGCGGTGTTATGCAAATCTTCCCACAGAGTGATGTAGATATGTGGGGGCGTGTTTAAACAAGGCGTTTTAGGAGGGCATGGACGAGTCTTATCTTTTATAAAGAATATCTCTTTGGGTTTGAGACTTTAGTCTTTGCAACTTTAGGGATCTTATCTATTCACGAATAGCTTGTAACACTCCAAAGAGAAAGGAAAACTCGAAATCGCATCATATGACCCCTTTAACAACTTTACCCAAAATATCAATGAAATCCAAATTAATTAAGGATTTAAAAAAAGGTGAAAGATTCCAAAATGAAGGAGCGAATGATTGAATTTGCACAGGTGAGTTAATGTTTGAAAGAATCGGCTCTCCGTACTCTGTTCATGTAACAAAACAAAAGTTTAAAATGCCTAGTAGGGCATATATAGTTGACGTGTAAAGTTATGTGCATATATATCTGTATATGGCACTGCAACCCCCCCCCCCCCTTGATTTATTATTGCAATTATAATGCTATTATCAATGCTATTTTTATATCAAATGTATCATTTGTGTACGTAGCCTAAGCACAATTGTCCATAAATATATAAATAGGCTATATATTGGTTCATCGATTAGTAGCCTATTAATTTACAAATCAGCCTCTCAAAAAATCCTCACAGGCCGCTACTGATTTTTGTAATACTGTATAGTCTATTGTAATATATATTGTAATCTAGAAATAATTTACATATTATTTATAAAATGTTTTAAGCTTTATTTAAGCTTTCATGTCTTAGCCTTGTGAGATAGCCTATTGTTCTTTAAAATATCTCAATCTCTGCCTTGTGTAATCTGTGTGCTTTAAACATGCAAGAGATGTTCTTTGCATATGTTGGCTTTTCTCAGGATAAAATTTAATTATATGGTCTGACACTGTATACCTGTTACCTTAACATCTTGGCCAGTTAATCTGCCCACATGACAGCTGCAGACTACGTGGACTATCTATTTTTGTTACATGTTAATGAGGTATGAATTGTTAACTTATTTTTGATAAATAAATATTTTGTCACATTCATAATCAAACGTTTTTTTGCATCATTTCTCTTGATAAATTACGTTTTAAAGTAAACTTTACATTGTGGACTGCAGACTAATAATAAATGACTGAGTGATCAAAAGTATAATCCTGTGATTTTTGTTTTTTGTGAAATAGCTTTTTGTGGAATATCTTTTCCTGTGAAAGATGTTTTGTGTAATTATTTATTACAAAAATACTAACGTGCTGATGATGCATGCTCTACTGTGGCATTGTTGCATGTTACCTTGAATAATATTGCTGACTAGACATATCTCTGGGGAAAGCTCATTGGATGTCCTCCTGACCTGCATCATTGCTATAGCAATAGTCCAACAGACACTTGAAATTGAACTAAATTGTACTTAGTGGATGTACTTTTTTTTAAATGTTGAGGCATGCAATTATGTTATGTCTCCAAAAATCAAGATAAAGTAATATGGTCATGGTCAGTTTAAACAGAGCAATGAAACACTTACAAAACTGAACAGTTACTTCATTAATAATGTATAACAGGTGGGATCTATGACACTTCAGACAGCTCTGATTAATGACTACTGATGCATTTATGTTGATTGAACAAAGCACTGCTCACCGAAAGTACATGTACTGAGGGGAAGTCATTGAACGGTAAAAAGTGAAGGGAGGAAAGGGCTGCCCATTTCTTATTCATGATATTTAGCAGTTAAAAGCTCACACACTCCAGCTGCTGTTCTAACGGAGCCTCATAATCAAAACTGTAGTGCTTGTACTCTGTTTGGCTGATGGACATATTTAGGATTGGTCTAAAACAAATTAGTACTCAAATCAACTTAATATGTTTACTGTGGGTAGCCTAGCTAACAATTCATATAAGTTCATATGTCATCCTATACAATAGCTCATATTTATTTTAGTTTTTTTTTTTTTTATTCAAGCTTCCCCTCTCTGAATTAAGTCACAAGTTATTTTACACGTTCCTGACACTAACGGGGGGGATGTCATGCACAGATCAGCCATTCTGGTGGTGTTTGCATCGGTTTGATGATGTTTGTGCGCCACCTACTGGTGAATTGGAGGAAACGTCACTCCGCAAACATTAAAAAAATTGTGTTGATTTAATGAAGGAAAGTATTATATCATCAACGGAATTATATTGAATCGTTTCATATTGAAATATATATAGGTCAATGATGTTTATTAAATCCATTAAGCTTAAAATGTTATTATATTTTATTATTTTGTGCTGAACATATTTTAAGTTATAAGTTACTATTTTTGGGAGGCTTAAAGTGGGCTAAATCATGACTTTGAAAAAACGTTTGAAAATAAAATGATAAATTGTGAAAATTCTGAAATGTTGACATAGCAACATCATAGAATATTTTCAATATTTAAATATTATTACAAATATTATTTCTTAAAACATTATTGTCTGCTAAACTAAAGTAAAACGTCCCATTTAGACTTTTTAATATATTTTAATATAGGCTACATTTTGTTCAGTAAAGGGTAAATGAAGTAACCCTAGAAAAAGCGATATCTGAGGATTTTTAATTGCTTAAAACTATATGAAAACAATATTTCAAGATGTAAGGAAAATAATTGTGTTCACCTAATGACTACACCACGTTTTAGAATCATTAAATCATATTTTTGTGGAAAATAAAGCATATTTTTGTGTAACGTGAATGCAATAATTACATTTAGGCCTATAAGTTGGCACATGTCAGCATCTTAAAAAGATCTCTTTTCTGTCATGTCGGATATCATTATTATGTCTGTATAATTGAATTATACAGAGTGATTTCTCCACCATGACAGAAATGATGCTGAAATCCAAACATTCAAACGTTTGGGGGGGGGGGGGGGGG